TTTAATTTTACAGACATGCGATTTTTTGAAATAAAATGACTGCCTTATTTTAAATTAAATACCCTGTAGATTTTGTCATCGTCAGAGAGCCTGATTTTTCTACTTTACAAAATTGTATAATATTTTTCAATTATCTTGGACTTGCATCGTGAAAATTGCACTTTGTCGAAGAGACTACCATCGACTAACCAAAAAATAAATTGAGAATTAATTTGTGTTTAATACTTTAATTAACTAATTAGCGCATAGTTAACTAATAATATAAGTATTAAACACAAATAAGTGCATGTAAAACACAAATTAATTTTTATCATTTTTTTTTTTTGGCCAGTCGATGGTACGCCCTTCAACCAAGTGCCATTTTCACGATTCAGTTTCATGATAATTGAAAAAAATTATACATTTTTGTGAAGTAGAAAAGTCACGCTTTCTGACGATGACAAAATATATCGGGTGTTTCATCAAGAATAAGGCAGTATGTAATTATTTCAGAAAATCGAATGTCTGTAAAACCAAATTTCAGGATTTGCCCATACCATGAAAAAAAACTTTAAAAAATCCTTATTCTTCCAGAACAAACCGCATCCCGTTATCTTTTCTCGTTTTCGAGATATTCACCTGTAAAATGTGTCAGTTTATCTAAGGACACCCTGTATAAAAACAGCGGTTTCAGAAGTTTGGAGGCAGTCAGTCTTCAGTTCAGTTGAGTTCAGTCTTCAGATCACTTCAGCTAAGAGGCTTGAGTCTTGAGTCTACAGTAAGATCCTGTTGTAACAGTCAGTTCGGATAAAATTCGCGAAGAGTTTCTTTGGTTTTGTTGCCTCGGGAAAACGCGTTAAATCAAATATCGGAAAAAGTAACGGAAAATCGAGAAAGATCATTTAAATTCGTTCAACATTATGAGCGAGCTCTAAATAATCGAAAGAATTTATTTAGAATAGTCTAGTGATTTTAAGACGGAATGTGAGTACCTAGTGACAAGTTTTGAGTGAAATGTCTATGTAAGTGAATTGACTATGGAACATTATTGTATAAATATTATTAACTTGAGTAAATTGACTTTGAATATACAGGGTGACACAAGGAATAGGGAACAACTTTTAACTTTTTTAATATATAAGTTGGAAATCTGAAATTTGGGGAGCTTAAACGAGGCAACTTTTTGAGTTTTTTAGAAGTAAATTACGTTATCAGTCACTTCCTGTTAAACCGGCAATGGCCATAACTTTTAATTTTCAAATGGGACACCCAATATTTTTTGAGTTTTCTGGCATCAGCAGATCATTTTACGTATGATAGGACCATTCTTGAAAGATTCATAACAAAACCAAAAAAAAAAAATGGAATTGGAAAATAAGGATTTTTCAAAAGTTTTTGGGTTATTTCTGAGCGGATTTTAAAAATGTTGATATCAAAAAATAGAGAAAAAAATCTAGTTTCAAAAAATTGATAGGTCCCGACGTGGTTACGTTTGAAAAATATGGAATACTTTGAAAACACCTCTTTGTTTAATTTTGATCTGAAATTATGGCGTCCACTTAGGAAAAAATTGAAGTTACAGATTTCCCTGATATTAAGAAATATCCAACTAGATCAATTTACACCAGTGGCAGCGCCGAATTTTTTTTTCTAATAATAAATTCAATTTATTTTTTTTTGTTAAAAATTTTCCAAAAATGGTCCTATCATACTTAAAATGATCTGCTGATGCCAGAAAACTTAAAAAATACCGGGTGTCCTATTTGAAAATCAAAAGTTATGGCCACTTCCGGTTAAACCGGAAGTGACTGGTAATGTAATTTACTTCTAAAAAACTCAGAAAGTTGTCTTGTTTAAGCTCCCCAAATTTCAATTTTTCAATTTTGTATAATTAAAAAAGTTATAGGCTGTTCCCTATTACTTGTGTCACTCTGTATATATATTATTTTTTTGTGCTTAGTATAGGTATATAGAGAAATTTCATTCAAATTACTGTTAATTGAAATGAATTTTACTGAAGAGTTTGGATAATCAAATTGACTGTTTTGATCCGTCTAGTAAATGATTAGTTAGATATTTTGGATTCTAATTAAATGAATTCAGATAAAATGTTCAAAATGCTGGCTCAAAGACGAAACGTCAGATTTCAAACTTGATGGTAGCATCTTGTAGGGGAGAAAAAGTGGCTATGATGAAGTGATATTTTTTTTTGAAATATCACTTCAAATAAAGTCAGGAAAAAATAAAAACAATTTTGCAAAATTTAGTTGTTTTTTTTTTTTCGGATATTTCCGTAAGTATTCGGATTATCCTAAATATCAACGCGGCATTTTGTTAAGCATCAAATTACACAACTCTGCCCCAATTTAACCAACCCTGTATCTCTCGCCGTTTCCGAAATCCCAATGATGTGGCTCGAATTTGAAACACCCTGTACCTGAATCTTAACCATGCTGATGTGGCAGCAGCGGTTTTCTGTGATCTGTCCTTTTGATGGTTCAATGTCTGGCGAGCAGGTGCTGAATTGTGGCATTCCTCAGGGTTCTGTTTTGGGTCCAGTTTAATTTTTGATATATGTCAACGACTTGATATCTCTGGAAATTTTACTTTTTTTGCTGATGACGCAACAATATCGTGGCATAATTCTGACAGCTCTTAGATTACGGGATGCGGTCAGTAATGACATAGGTGTGATTAAACACTGGTGTCACGCTAATGGGCTGACGTTGAATATATCTAAAACAAATGTAATGAATTTTAAACACGTCTAATTTTAAGCACTTTTGAAGTGTTTGAGGAATAGGTTGGAATCTAAATTGTTTTGCACTTTAGAGTTATTTCTAGGGAACTGGAACCATGTATTGCCAGAAATACTTATTTCGCTTTGATAGAGTCTCATTTAAAGTATGGGCTGTGTTTCTGTACTTGCGCTAAGCAGTTATTTGATTGCATTTTTTTTGCCGCAGAAGAGAGCAATTAGATATTTATGTGGAGCCAATCCACGCGATTCTTGTAGGCCGCTATTTACTTCTAAAAATATTTTGACTTCCTGCATTATTTGTGTTAGAATCTAGGCTATTGACTATGTCATTTAATAAGGAACTAAGGCGTTAGTGGAATTTTATTGTTTAATATGTTCAAATGGTCCCTAGAGATGATAAAACCGCGGAGTGCATCAGATATAGGGGCGCATTTTTAAGAGCAGGGTGAGTTTTTCAGGTTTCTGGGTCTTCGGCTATAACTCAAAAACCATGCATTTTTGGTCAACGTCTTAGTTCCTTTTACCCCCGTTTTTTTCGACATAGTCAATAGCCTAATCGGTCTGCTTCATTCACAGGAAACACAAAAGCAGTATATTCATATCGCATACAAACTATAATACTCGACAGAAAAATCATGTTAGCCTTCCTATACCCACTTCCAGCCAGGGGCCCGATTCTCGTCTCAAGGAGTAGAGCTCCCCGATAGAACAAATGTTTTGTCGTTGTCAACGTTATCGAAAAGAAAACGAGAATGATAAAGACGAAAAATTTGTTCTCTCGGGGAGCTCTACTCGCTGGCCCGAGAATCGGCCCCCAGGTAAGAGACTCTATCATTTTCAGAAGTCGCAAGTTTTCCAATCATTTCAATCAATCAATCATTTGCCAAACAAATAAAGACTGAACGACAGTTTCGTGAAGAGGTCAAGGCGCTGCTTGCTCAAAAGACATATCACGAAATTGACAAATTTCTAGCAGATAGGTTTTAGATTTTGGGTGTTTTTCTGGATTGTTCTGTTTATGGTGTGCGTTATAGTTGTTAATTTGTTTTATTGTTCAAATTTCTGAATTCGTTGTCTTTTTTTTATTTTTATTTTCTAATAACGACTAATTTTTAGTTTTTAAAGCAATAATAATCGTAGATTGTGACAGGAACAGCTATTGTTGTAACGTAGTATTTGAGGCATTTAAAAGATTTTTTCACTTTTGAAATTATTTATCAGCAATCCGGTATATAACATTACATCCATGTATAAAGTTATGGCCCTGTAATGAAAATCCATCAAATATACTGTAAAGGACCATACAATTTGAGGAGTATGCCCAGCGTTGGCGCAATGTAATGATTCAGACGTTGAATCGGCCCAACGCTGGTTCATACTGTCGGCCGATTTGCGGTTCGACTGTCAGCCGGGGGGTCATATATATGATCTAGACCAGTACCATTTTCATTTAGCTGGCCAGATGCCTGTAATTTGGCAAAGCGGCATTCGTACGATGCTGGGCCGTAAGAAATGTGTTTGTTGGGCATACACTCTACTATGCGAGAACATAAACATTTCCAATGTTAAAATAGTGTGGAAAAAATCTTGAGCAAAAAAACAAAATCGATGGATTCGAGTGTTTTTTCGAAAAGAACTCCATTCATTTATTACCAAATTTATTCCATTCGGCTGATATATGTATTATGCCTTCACCTAGCTTCCACTAAAATAGGACACTGTAGAAGACAATAACTCGAAAACACAATTTACCTAGAAGAAATTTTTAGATTTAACATACCAATCTGCTTGAAAAGATCTGTGTTCGATCAGTATCCTACTTGGTGTCACTTTACGGTGCGGAGATGCTGACTCCAAATAATGTTTCACTCAAGAAGCCAAGGAACGAAACAAGTTTGGTGTATATTTGAGAGAATGCCAAATGCAGAAATAATGTCGCAGTGACAGATAACCATATTAAAATGGAACTGGGCCAGGCATGTTGCCGCAAAATCTGATGACTGATGAACTTCTTTCGAAACCGAGGGCGACCATCCACAAGATGGGTAGTTAGATGTTCAAACATATCATACGGAACTGCAGATACCAATGACACAGAGCTGAAATGAGTGGTACTATGTCCAGCAAGGAACACAGAAAATGATGATGTTGATAATAAGATAGGTATAACATAAGTTTGTTCTTTGCACCAAATTGGATATAGACACAAATAAACAAAATACCTACTAAAAATAAGGAAATTATAAATAAAATATGTAGATCAGATTAGATTTATGATAATTTATTGAAACCACAGATTAATACAAAAATTTATTGTTACAGTTAGGATATTCAATATGGAACTGCTTGTTCAGGTTTTTGACCATTTAAAATATGATGTTCCAGAAAACTAAATTATTATTGCATATTAATATACAAGACAGACAAGTTCCTACAAATTCTACAATGAAGACTAACCGTACATTATTACATTTATTATTGTACAGGATTATACTTCAAAATTATCCCAGTATTAAAATAAATACCTTAGTTTCAAATAATATAAATATAGGTACTCAAAATAGACAAAAAAAGGTACCTATTACTTTGTTTCTCAAAAAAGAAAATATATATAAATTTATAAAAACTAACTACATAGCTTTTAGTCATTAGTTTCCATGTCATCATGGCTGATTAGGTATAGTAATGCGGTAACGTATCTAATAATATTATAATGCTACACTACGTAATAATATTTAGTTATATTCGGGGTAAGTACCTCAATCAGGACCACCTGTAGGTATTAAGTATCATATTTACAGTCAGGTTATTAGTTTTTTTTTTTTTAATTCCAAGTTTAGTAGATACAAACTACACCATTGGAAGAACTACGATGGCAGTTAAAAAAAAGTGGTTCAGTAGTAGGTACCCTTTTCCAAAGTTTTTACTCCCCATGAAGACAGTCCTAATACTCCAGTACTAAGATGGAGAATATCACAATGAAGTATAACTGCCTGTTTTTGTTTCTCAATGTAGGTGGGAGAAAGAAGTATGTAGGTACCTACTGATTGTTCTATGTTTTGTTCTGTGCTAGAAAAAAAACTGTCAATCGTTCAATTTCTTTATTTCATTATTTATGAATAAGTACCAATGTATACAGAGTCTCCTATATCATTAAACAGATTCCTATACACTAAATACTTGGACATTTTTTTGCATTTCATTTATTTCTATGTGATACTTACTGAATAGTAGGTACCAATTTCAACAAAAATAATTATTATGAAAGCAATAAGACTTGAAGATTTTTAAAAGACGCTCTTAGGCTTGTAAAAATGTAGGACACCCTGTATATTGTAAGTAGATAACTATCTCAAACTCGCAATTTTAAATCAATATCACATAAAATGCTGCCAGAATATCTAATTGAGGGTTTCCACCAAATTTTATTCACATAATGAACTTCATTTTGATATTTCAAATTGATAAAACAATAATTTTTTTCAGAATGAAGCCGTAAAATTAATCATAGAAGTCACCAAAAATATAAAAAAAAAAAAACGATTTCTGATGCTTGTTTGATTATATGCTTTTGTGATATGATTCTAGATATGATGTTCAAAATTAATCAGTCTCGTTATAAGTAAAGATGTGATCAAGAGCTATCATAGTGGCAGAGTTGGGGTGACAATTTAACACAAAATACATCATATATTTTTTTTCTTTCCACCTCAGTTAATATCTATCGACAAATGATCAAGAACATGAAAATAATGTCATCATCATGGCACTTGACTTCCAAATTTACCTATTATTTGTTTTGTGAGTATTGCATATTACAGAATATGGCAACCTACTTTATACAAAGTTTGTCCGAAAAGTATCAGAAATCCAATATAGGAACGTACAATTGAGAAGTCCACTTCAAAAAGCTACAGGACAAAATCTGAAAATACTGTGATAACAGCTTTATCATGAAATCAATTTTCTGGACTCGGATACTTTTTGGGACACACCATACCTATAGCATACTAAAAAAAAAAATTGATTTAAAAATCATTATAACTTTCTATGCTACAGTTAAACTACAAGAATATAGGTCTCGCACAATTAAAAAAATATATATAAATAAGCATTAATCAATCCTTTGGTATATAAAATGTATAAGTGATACGTTGTAGGTAGCTGGGGAACAATTATTATGTTTATACCTATCTACAGCCAATAAGCAAAAAAAGATTATCGGCTGCAAGATTTTAATTATTGATTATTTAATTCTCAAAACTACTAAGTACTACTTTTCAAACATATTCCCTCATCTAAGTTGAATTCCCAAAAAGCCATTACAATGACTATACATACATAATTATATTTTGCATTTTTTTTTTTTAAATTGCTCATTGGCAGTCAGACGAATTATTATTGCTGAAAAACGTGAAGTGTAATTGTTAAGGGGGCACGTATGGTGGTGGTTTCCTATAAGTAGGAGTGGGTTTAGGTCTGGGTTGTCTACCATTATCCTGAGTGCGAGTGAAAGGCGGTGGTGGTTGGTAAGGTTCAGAGTCTTCCAGTTTCACCGAGCCGCTTTTGCTGTATTCGGGTGGTGCTAGCGGTGGTTTTTCATCTTTCAGTATTACTGGAGCTTTGGTACCCGGCTCCGGTTTTTCCTCCAGCTCTTCTTGGAATATCACAGGTATGCCTGAAACGATTTCGAATATTTTTAGTATGTGCAACGGTATTCTGATGAGATGAACTTATTTATATACCCTATTAGCTAGGAGACACATTTACTGAAACTGCATTCGATATTTTAAAACTTTGAATGTTCCATTGAAATAATTAGACAGAACTTAATAGAATGATGTGTGTTCATTCTAGACCATCATTAATATAACGGCAACTTCGCTTACTAGACTTCAAGACCGTTTTTTCAAAACATGAAACAGCAGAGAAGGTAAGTGCATATCTATTGTCCGTCGTTTTCAATCTGACACTTTTCGTATGAGGAGCGAAGGGGTGAAAGCATATGGCAAAAGCAGGTGTGACGTCAGGTGACCATTGGCGTTATAACGTCAGGAGCCACCATCACACATTCCTTTGGATTATCGTTCGTTCAGAACAAACAGAACTATAACTTCGATAATAAAAAACCTCCGAATTTCACTTTCGAAGAATTATATAATAAAGAAATTGACGAGACTGAAGAAGAGTTCAGAATTATGAAAATTTCTATGGAGAACCTTCACTCAATAACTATGACTCTTCTTTCCATAACTTTGACCCTTATTAGGTGAAAATATTATTCCTGAAATTGCAAATGAAGAAAATTTTACAGAAAACGTAAATTTTTCCGAAAACAAGCCTAGAAAATCTCACGACCTAATAGAAATAAATATTGATTCAAACAAAGCATTACCATTCATTCAAATTGAAAACCCCAACGTAAAATTGTTAATTGACACCAGCAGTACACGTTCAATATTGAACCATAGTATTGAACCCTGCCATAGCAGAAACGTTTTATCCACAGTGTACCTATATACCATGCACACGATGTCATAAAAACAGCTATAGAAAGTCGATGTGCAAACTTTCGAGCTTTAATTCCTACATTATTTTCAGATTCTGGCATTGATAGTATGTATGTATTAAACTAGATTTTATCCTTTTTGATTTTCATGACTTCTTTGATGGTATAATAGGCATTAATGACCTAATAAAATTGTAAATATTGATTTACCAAATAAAAGAATTGGGCCTAATCTAGAAATACCCTTATTAGGTAAACTATAGAAAAGCTGATGAGGTTTACTTTTACTTCTAGTTCTCTGTGAGCCTACAAGAGAAAGTTTTGAAAAATCTACCCGTTAGTATTTATGAAGGTGAAATTTTAACAAAACCTTGTGAAGCTGATAACTTATACATCCCCCAGATTTTAACAATTGCCAAAGATGGATTTGCACCAATAGAAATCGGAAATCAAACTGATAGAACTATTAGCGTCACCATGGGATCAACCTTTACCAGTGGATTAATTAGTTCGATTTAAACCTTTACGAAATTTACTCAATGAATCATTTCCATACCACGTAATAATGAAAATATCAATCTCTTATTGAGAACCGAACACCTCAATGGCGAAGAAAAATCCTTATTATCTAAATTATGTAATGATTATTCGGACATATTCCTAAAACCAGGTGATAAACTCACATTTAACTCTAAAAGAAAACTGTGACGGAACTAGCTGTTGCCCTTTTTTGGGCTTTAGTTATACCGCACCAGGGATGTCAAAAGTATTTGCTTTGACTGACTGTAAAAATTAACCATTAGGTGTTGGATCATTTGAGCCTTGTATTGGGTTAGGGGTGCCTTGATTCTCATTTATACAAGTAAAACGCTGAAATAGAATAGTTATCAATCTAATTAATAAATGAAAGTAATTCGGTTTAATCAGCAATCAAATCCTATCTAAAAATTCCTAATTAGACGTCCAGTTGAACTACAAATTTTATACTAATCTAAAGCAAAGTTTCTAAAGTAAAGTATCTTGATTTATAAAAAGTAGTGAAATGTGATAATGGTAATAATATCATTTATGGTTAAATGTTCAATGAACGAGAACACAAATTAACTAATTAAATCCACGAGAGCACAACATAAATAATTTCGTCAACTTCAATCAGTTCACTGCAATCACAAAATGTTTATTGATCCTTGAAAGTTCTTTTATTTATTGAGAGTTAATAATTGGAGCACTTTTTTGCTGAAGTCTGTAAACAATGTGCAAGAAAAGTCTTTATATACAGGGTGTCCCACGGTGGATGGCGTATTAGACGTTTATGGAGAACTAAAAAGCGGATCATTATGAAAATTTGGCAACCGGGATAAACGACCATAATCTACACTTTAAAAATATTTTTGTTTATTGCGGTGTTGCCGCTTCTACTCTAAACCAGTGGCAACAACGCTATTTTAAATGGAACACCCTGTAAGTGATTGCACATTTGGATTCTACGTGAAATTCTGAGCAGATTTCATGTGGTATAGCCTATACCTAAGTTCAACTGTTTTGGAAATATTAACAGTTGAAAATTGACTTTTTGCAACTTTGACAGGCTGTAAAGGTTAATTCTAGAGGAAAACTGATTTTACATTCCTATCTTAGATTTTTATGAACTATCATTTGACACCATATTTAATCCATGATTAAAAATTCCAATTAAATTTAATCTCCGGTTAAATTCAAAGTTGGTGTCAAATGATAGTTTATGTTAATCTAAGATAGGAATGTAAAATCGGTTTTCCTCTAAAATCAACCGTTGAGGATTTACAGCCTGTCAAAGTTGCAAAAAGTCAATTTTCAACTGTCAATATTTCCAAAACAGTTGAACTTAAGTATAGGGTATATCACATGCAATCTGCTCAGAATTTTACGTAGAATCCAAATATGCAATCACATACAGGGTATTCCATTTAAAATAGCGATGGTGCCACTGGTTTAGAGTAGAAGCGGCAACACCGCATAAACAAAAATATTTTTAAAGTGTAGATTATGGTCGTTTATCCCGGTTGCCAAATTTTCAAAATGATCCGCTTTTTAGTTCTCCATAAACGTCTAAGACGCCATCCACCGTGGGACACCCTGTATATATGCTCAGTTTCTATATACAAATGTACAAATGTTAAATTTCACGAGTGTGAAAACCAAATTTCTGTATTAAAGGGGATGTGACCTTAAAAAACGACTTAAGCTACTTAAATCAAGAAAAAAATTCTAAGATCTCTCGTGAAAACCGCAGTCCTATATTCAAAATAGTCTCCGAGAAAATTCCTTGTGAAGATCAATTATGCAGGAAATTGTGATGTCACAACCGCCGAAATCGCAGTCTTCTAGTCGTTCAGACGTCAGTGAACCGTACTCTATACTTTGAGTGGTTGCAAGCTCTAGGAGATAATTATCTTTTGTTTTGGAGAATTCTCACACGTGTTAATACTGTCCCTGAAAATACAGTGTGACGTCACAAACGCCTAGTTGTAACTTTAAACCGCCCTAACTCAAAAACGGACCATCGTAGCAAGATGCGGTTTGAATATTTATTCTTAGATTTTTTTTGCACTAAAACTTTCATGTTTGGGTCACACCCCCTTTAAAGGTTAGAAAAACACTTCAATTTATAGTGCATTTCAAGCGAATCACTAATCAGTATTTATTAACTTATTGTTCGACTGTTTAGAGAAATTGTAACGGTCTTACATGCTTAATCGAGTTCATACAGGTAAATCCATGAGGTGATTATTTATCCATTTATCACTATTCGTAAATAGTAATTTGCACTGGCAGCTGAGGGATTTTCCACTGAGAGAGAGAACACAATGATATACAGAGTTGGAGCCCGTCGAGAGTGAGACAGAGATAACCTTAAACAGGCGTAGTAGAGAATTTTGCTCGTTCAAGATGACTTGCAACAATTAGGGGTTAATTACACGAATTGTTATTAATAATATAGACCATGTCAGGCCTTGAGACACTGAGAGTAGTATTTTACTATAAATCGCGTACTAACGGGGTTTTTTTGGGGGTTTTGCCTCGGAAGAGTGTTCAGAAGGCGCGGGGGTGCGAACTGTTCGCTTGTTCTAAAACTACTACTACTGCGTCGCGTCGACTTTTTCGGAGCAAGTCGCAAAAATCTAGGGATGTTGGGTGGCAACTGACCAATCAAAACAACGAGATAGATCCAGTCTCAGAGGGTAATGAAGAAACCTGTAATTTTACCGGTTCGAAGGGTAGTTGTTGCCAGTTTTACAGGTATCTTGTTTTAGAATATTATTTTTATGATAAATAATAGAAATTGAGATTATATCAAATTAGAAATAACAAAATTTAAACTTGTTGTGGGTTATTTCCGCAACATATTCCCCCCCTTGAAGTTTCCAAACTTCAATGAGAGACGAAACATTAACAACAAAAAAAACAACATATTTACAATAGAAAAAGTAGCAGGTTTTAATCCTGAATTGGTAAAGGACATACCTTTGCTATTCCCCTAGTAAAAACACCTTTTTGTGTTTTCAATTTTACCACTCTGGTTTTATTGTCTCGTCCAGGGAATACCTCTAAGACCCTGGCTAAAGGCCATCTTAGAGGTGGGGTGTCATCTTCCTTTAAAAGTACTAATGTATTGGGGGTTACATCTAGGGAACTTAAGCGTTTTGAGAAGAGGAAGGTCATGTATAAAACCATTCCATTCTTGCAAGAGTGAGTCATCAGTAATTGGGGTGTCCCAATATAACTTCAAAGTCCAAAGTCTTTGTACAATTATTTTTCCTGTCACAATGACTACAGACAAAAAACCAAGAGGGTCATAACATTGAGCTATCACAGAGACAATTTTTCTTTTCGTAATAGGGGTTGTTAATTTTACTTCAGGAATAGGGACGCAGAAAAAATCGATAATTGGGTTCCAAATAAGGCCGAGTACCTTATTCGGGTTTTCGTCAAAATTCATATCTACTTCGATTATTTTTTTTATGAGAGATTTTGTCTAGAAATTCCTTTGAATTTGAACACTACTTGTGTAGGTAATTCAAATCCAGAGGCCTTTAATAAAGAGATGAGTTCGCTATAGAGTATTTCTAAATCCTTAAGGTCATCACATCCACTTAGGATGTCATCCATGTAACATTGTTTCAATAGAGAATGAGATGCGAGGGGATAATCTGAGCTATTTTTTAATGCAACATCGTTTAAGACTCTGGTTGCGAGGAATGGAGCACTGTTAGTGCCATACGTGACAGTTGTCAATTCGGAAGTGGTTTTTCAGGCTCGTCTCTCCATAAAATATTTAATAAAAAGGTCTGAGTAGGATTCATCTTTATTTGTCTGAACAAATTCTCGATATCAGAGGTGAGAGAATATTTGAAAGATCTGATTTTGCAAGAGGCGTCAAAAACCACACGCAGCTTCGTTGGGCACGCACCTTCTCTAACCACAGCGTGATGAGGGAGGAAATATTTGAGTTCCAGATTTTCATTAGCAGAGGAAAGGGGTACGTACCTGGCATGTCCAAGGTTAACATATTCATGAATAAATTTATGATATTCATGAAAATAATCTGGGTCCTTTACAAATTTCCTCTCGAGATTGTGAAATCTTTTTGTGGCTATAGACAAAGAATCACCGAGTTTGAGATTTTCAGAGTGAGATTTCAAGGGTAAGTTAACTTGATAAGAGCCATTTTGTAATATTTGGGTTGTTTCCTTGAAACAAGCTTCAGCCTTTGCATCTTCAAGGGAGAGAGGGGCTTTGGTATGGATTTCTTCCATGGACCAAAATTTATTCACCATATTTTCAAGAGAGCTATTGTCCGGGCTTTGAACAAACATAGAGACAGAGGGGTGCACTTGTTGTGCAGGGCTACTAGTGACTAAATGAGAGCAGTTATTATGGTGTGAATTTTGGGGAAACGTTCCTCCAAGAATCCAACCGAGATGAGTGTTTAAGACTGTGGGCAGGCCTTGACCTAGCTAGATGAATCATGCCTTTTGTCAGTAGATTATATTAGAGGTCTGAACCAATCAGGTCAACTTCCGAAGGACGAGTGAAACTAGGATCAGCAAGAACAATGTCGATCGGTATATTCCACGAACTGACATCTATTAGTATAGAGGGGAGAAGTCCTGTTATTACAGGGATAATGGCGCAGGAAATCTCAAATTTCCTATGAGGATACAAATCAATCATCTTATTAGATACATATGTTGTTTTGACATAGGGGGCTAGTTTTAACCTTTTAACTAATTTGTCAGTTACAAAAGAGTGTTGCGAACCATTATATAAAATGGCTTTGGCTTGAAGGGGCCGCCTGTCTGCGTCATAAAGTGTTACACATGCGGTTGCTAAAAGAGTTTGTGAGTTTTTTGTCGAGAGTGCTGAGACCGAGTTTGAGAAGATTTGGGAAGTTCATTTTGGTTTAATTGTGAATCAGCTTGAGTTTGTGGTCTTGAACCTTGTGTCTGTGTCTTGGGAGGATGCTGAGACGGTTGCTGCTGACCCTGAGAATAATTTGGTCTGGCAAGCAAGAGAATATTATTTTTATGATAAATAATAGAAATTGAGATTATATTAAATTAGAAATAACAAAATTTAAACTTGTTGTGGGTTATTTCCGCAACAAAAACATGATATTAAAACAACCGATGACATCCCGGTTCATACGAAAACTTAACGTTTTCCGTACGTACACAAAGATGAAGTGCAAAGACAAATAGGTAAACGAAATGTTAGATAAAGGCATTATACGTCCATTTTGTAGTCCGTGGTCATTTCCAATTTAAAGTCTGCCAAAGAAAATGGACGCTACGAGTAAAGTAAAATGGAGAATTGTTTGCGATTATAGAAATCTAAATGCTAAGACAATTAATGATAAATATCCAATTCCCAACATGAACGACATCCTAGACAGGTTAGGTAGAGCTCAATATTTTCCGACGCTCGATCTACCTAGTGGCTTTCATCAAATCCAAATAGAAAAAGATTCTAAAACTGCTTTTACTCTTGATAATGGACATTATGAATACCTACGAATGCCCTTCGGATTAAAAAACGCACCTTCTACATTCCAGAGAGTTATGGATGAAGTCCTAAAACAAAATCTGTATGATCTGTCTATATGAACGACATAATTATTCTCAATACAGGATTGCAAGAGCACATTCAAAATTTAGAATTAGTATTTTCCAAATTGAGAGAAGCAAATCTCGAAATACAACTTGACAGAAGTGAATTTTTAAGAAAAGAAGCAGAATTTTTAGGTAATGTTGTCACAAAAAGTGGTATCAAACCAAACCAAACCAAAAAAAGATTAAAGCAGTCCAGTTTTGGAGTTCTTTTAGGACTTCATCCATAACTCTCTGAAAAGTAGAAGGTGCGTTTTTTAATCTGAATGGCATTCGTAGGTATTCATAATGTAGGTACATTATCAACTGTAAAAGCAGTTTTTTCAATAGAATCTTCTTCTATTTCGATTTGATGAAAGCCACTAGCTCAATCGAGCGTCGAAAAATATTGAGCTCTACCTAACCTGTCTAGGATGTCGTTTATGTTGGGAATTGGATATTTATCATCAATTGTTTAAGCATTTAGATTTCTATAATCGCAAACAATTCTCCATTTTATTTTACCCGAAGCGTCCATTTTCTTTTGAACAATCCAAATTAGACTTGACCACGGATTACAGGATGGACGTATATAATGCCTTTATCTAACATTTATTTGTCTTTGCACTTCATCTTTGTGTACGTACGGAAAACGATAAGTTTTCGTATGAACCGGGATGTCGTCGGTTGTTTAGAGGTAACCTTAAGGCGCGTTTTCGCGGGTATCACACCACAAAAACATGTCATAGAGGCATTAACGAAATGAAAATGGCCCTTCCATGAAATTCTATTGGCCAAAAATTGGCGTTGATATAGAAAATTATATTAATAATTGCGAAGTCTGCCTGAAGAATAAATATGACAGAAATCCCCAGTAATTAAATTAAATTTAACACCAATAAGTTCTAAACCATTTGAACATATTCACTTAGACACTTTCAAAATATCAAACGAAAGTTATTCAACCATCATTGACTAATTTTCCAGATATGCACAAGCATACCCGTTAAAAAGTGTCACAGTAGTAGTAGAAAGGTTTCATTCAACTTTAATTGAACACTTAAGATTTTTAAAAGAAGAGAATAAAACTTTCTCAGCAGACCAGTTAATTAAACGTGCCGTACTCGGATATAATAATTCTATATAATATATATTGGTTCACGGTTCATTATATTATAGTGAACCGTGAACCAAAATACACACCGTTCGAAATAATTAAAGGTCGTATAAACACTTTTGATATGAGCGACCACATATTAATATCAAAGTACGTACAATCACATGAAGATAGTACGAAAGAGCTCTATAAGCAGATTCAAGTGAGAAATGAAAAATCCCAAAAAGAGAAAATTATTTCGAAAATTTACGAAAATAGATCTGACCCTTCAAGTTTTGAAAATCAAAATACAGCCTACATTGAAATAAAAGCTCGTAATAAAAATGCTCCGATGTTTAAGAAAGTTCCAATAACTGGCCAAAATATATTTAAAGTTTTCACTAAAAAGGGTTCCTATCATAAAGGCACAGTGAGAAAACCAAAAATTAAAGAAAAATCTGTTTTACACTTTTACAGGATAAACAGGATGCAGACGACACTGCTCTTATCCCCAACAATCCTGGCCCTTCTCACTCCTAGTAAAGGTAATGACGTTCAAATAACGACTATCAAAAACCCTGTGCTTCCTATACAATTAGGGAATGCAAAAATTATATAGGTATCATAAATATAAATTTATCCACTACGTAAATTTAGCACCTATAATTAATCAATTAGAAAATATTCAAACTTATTTTAGAAATATTGATATTTTCTTGAGTAAAGAAATATTTCTCAGTTACCTTTTGTCAATAAACTTGACATGAACCAATTTGTTGTCTTAGCTTGGGTTGTTTTATTTCTAAATATTAATAAAATACGACCTCAGAATAGATAAATTAATGATTTATATATCTTAAGGACTTGAATCATATTTTCGGTATCACAGATCGAAGCGATGAAACTTTCCTAAAAATTCCTAGCGACTAATGAAGGGTTAATACCAGAACTCTGACATCACTTTCCTATATTATCACGAGGTAACGGCAATGTACAATTTTTTTACTTTTTTACCTTTATTTCCATAGGTTTGTCTTCCATCCTCTTCAACATTCAATTTGCCCATCCGTTTTCTTCTGTAAAGAACACAGGCAGCTACTACAGCTATAAACACCATAATAGAAATGACTATAATAGGCAACACTAATGTAATTAAAATGTCGTTTTCTTGTGGAGGGTTATTTTCGCCAGATGCTTCTGTGAAGCCTGGCGTTGGCTGAGGAACTTGAATCACTGGCGGTTCCTTTGGTTTAGCTTTGCAGTTACCTGAAATCGAGTGACACATTATTAGTAAGGTCTCATTAAAAGTTACACAGTCCTCGTACCAATATGATGAACTTTAATTGTAGAAACAGTAAATTCAGGCCCCATAATTCGGTGGACACGGCTAGAAATACTCCTCGAATCACTAATCAACATGTTCTCAAGCTGTTTTATGTCTTCTCTAGGACAGTGTTCTACAGGAAGGCTTTTATTGAACCAATAAACTACTGTAGATTCAAAGTTGGATTCTCGTTTTGGCTTGAAAGGATGAAAATGGAAATTTTGAGGAGTTGATTCTTCAAAAAGGTGCATTAGTTTTTCAACAAACTTTCTTTGAATTATAGCATTATTAGTGAAAGCGTCGTGGGAAACTCCTATTGTCATACTAAACTCTACATTATAAGATTTTTTTGAAGCAGGTTGTACCACCACTTCCAAGCTATCTTTTGCGCTCATTCCTCCAGTATCAACGCATAATAAAAAGTACTCAGTTCGGCCAGTTTTGAATGGAATTCCAAAGAATTCTCTATTTTTACTATCAAATTGCAACCAGCTTGTTGAGGGTATGGCTGTTAAATCCGATGTTAGCAGAGTAATATTGAGCATTGATGGGTCTACATCTTCTGGATCATAGAAAGTATCATCTTTTACTTTATAAATCAGCAATTCTCCCTGAGTAGCATTAACTTTATCAACAGGATTGCGCAAAATTGGAGAGAAATTTGTGGTAGGAGTTACAGGTGGTGCAGGCTGAGGTTCACATATAGTCAAGTCACTACTCAGTACTTTTTTGATTCTTAAATCGGGTATCAACATTTGGCTTAGTTCTCTTGAAGGATCACCTCGATCATTCGCTGTCAGCATCTGAAAAAACAATTAATTGTAGTGATTTTTTCCTAAGTGAAAATTATTAGCCTTACCATATAAAGTTGATCAATTTCCTGTCTTGGGCAATGGTTAGTTGGTAAAGAATCATTGGACCAAGCAAAAATTACAGGTTCTGAACTTTGATTGATTCTCCTTACAGTTATTTCAGACATATTGGTGCCATAAATTTTCCCCAAGGTTCTCAAAACTTTCAAAGACCAATCTACATAGTGGGAGTATTCTTGAGGCTTCTCTATGCGTAGCTCTAGTACAAACTCGTGATTAACCACTCTGTCTAATCTGTGCTGTTGCACTTGGATTGTTAATTGATCTTGTTCGTAGGCACCTTCTCTGTCGGAGGCTCTGATAATGTAAATCCAGTTGGAAACGTCGTCTATAAGGGGTCTGGAATTGAAAAAAAAAATATAAATAAATTAGTATATACCAACAACTTAAGATCTAATGGAAAGAAATATCTTGAGAAATTTGCATATTGTCAAAATATGTATATGAACTGATAGGAGCTTTTGCAGGTAATTCTAATAATAATCATAGAAATGATTAAAACTTTACAAATAAATTTAAGTAGGTAGGTAAATCCATACTCACAATCCATACAATTCTCTTCTAACAGGGTTAAATTGTAACCACGAATTCTTCGCAATAGGTTGCTCATTCGAATCCAAAACTTGATAAGTCAAATTATGACCATCCTCTGCATCTTTGAAGGTGTTCTTTGGTATAACATATCTAAACACTTTACCAGCGGCCACAGACACATACTGCAATCGTTTTTCAATATATGGTTTGGTGTTTCTTGGTTCCGGAACGTAAGGAACGGTTTCCTGTTCAATGACAGCTTCAGTTGTGGAAGTAGTTGGAACATGCCTGGTTGTAGTCGATGATATTCCTGAAGTTGGTTCTGTATCGACTGTGGTAGGATCTTCAGAAGCTGTTGTCGTAGTTGCCTGAGTTGTTGGGTTAATGTCTGGTACAGTCACTACGGCGGGTGTTGTAGGTGGCTGAACTGTTGTAGTACTTGTTGATACTGTTGTAATAGGTGCTGTTGTTGTTGTTGTTGTGCTAGTTGTACTAGGTGGAGTGGCTTCCTCAGTACTGGCCACTATCTGTGTAGTAACTTCAGTGACTCCAACAGTGAAAATCGGTGGTTCAGTATCTTCAACAATTTCGAAGGTAGTTGGAGCTTCAGTAGTGGTGCTTGTTGACAAAGATGTTTTTAAGATAGTAGTTTCCGTTTCTGATTCATCTAAAAATTATTAAATAAAGAGAAATATGTGATATTTGTTTCAAAAACTTACTATCTTCTCCATCGACACGTCTAGGAGCATTTGATTCAGTTGTAGTTGAATCGGGAATTGCACCAAACACTGGTTTAACAATTTTTTTATTTATATCTGGCACAGTTGTTCCACTTTCAACATCGTCTTCTGTATCATCATCATCGTCGTCATACGACTCGTAATCATAATCATTATTATCAAAATCAAGTGTATCTTTTTGTTTTGGTATATCGACTTTAGTTGTACCAGGATCAAGTATTACTTTACTTTCTGTTGTAGTTGTTTCGGACTGTTTTGGTTCTTCTGGGAAAATGGGAAGGTTTTCTGAGATCACCTGAAAAATATTTACCAGTTGAATATTAAAGAGCTAAAGATGGAAGTTGAACATACATCAAAATCGGCAGAATCAAGATCTTCATTAGGCTTAATCTCTCCGTGATGATGACGATGAGGATGAGTTGAAGTCGCCACTGTAGTTGTAGAGGCAGTCACTGAAGCAATCGTGGTACTTTTTGGAGCTATTGCAGGTTGTGTAGGCAAAGCTGTAGTTTTCTTAGAAGTAGGCGGATTTGATTCGACATCTCCTAGATCGTCTTCGTCGTTGTATTCGTCATATTCGTCGTAGTAGTCGTCATCATAATCACCACTTCCTTTATTAAATTTGTAGAATAAATAATTTGAACTATTTGCTCATCGAGCAGCTTTCTTACCATAATCGTCAACAGCCTGCCTCTTACTCCTCAAAATAGGCTTGGTTTCAGTCTTAACTCTCCAGCCAATCAGAGGCAGTCCTAAAACTTCAGCAATGGTACCATCTCTTGCCTGTTGTTTGAGATTATGAACGATAGGTGCCGTAGAATCCCATAGTCGACCATCACAGCCTACTAAAACTTCAAGGTAAGACGATAATTTAGAGTTTCGTGTTTGTAGGTTTCCTGGACCGGCCAGTACTACTGAACTATCGGTGATATCGTCTTTTTCTAGTTGTGGCTTTAGTGTAAAGGCACTCTGGAAATATATAGGGGTCAGTAAGATTCCGCTGATATTCAGTCATTGATTCAAAGTGATAAGTAGCGGTTTTGGTCTTGGCTAATTTAACATAGAAATATTGACTCTTTATAGAGGAGTTGCTATGTAGCAGGGCCAAATACCTATATTATTAATTTCATCATCCATTGAAAAGTTGGTTAAAGAAGAAGCCAAGAATATAGAAAAAATAGAATGTTTAAATGTTGACAGTTTTATATTAGATGGCCTGTATCCCAACCACTGGTTCTTTTCCTTAGTTTGGAAAATTAGTATAATAAATTCGTAAATCCAAATTCTTGATGGTCTCTTCCAACTTTGATTTTTTTTAGTATTTTCCTTAATAACTAGTAAGAAACTTAATATTTTGTTGCTACTTACATATCGTATTCTAAAAAACTTCGCTATATTATTCATAGCAATCACCCTTTGCTTGGGTTTAATTGCTCGTAAATTTTTATCAAGAAGTAACGTGAGAATGGTTTCGTCTTCGTTGGAACCACATTTATTTTTCGTTGTTACACTATCTTCATTTTCTTCTGAGATGACTCGAACTTCCAGATTTTCGGTCGCTTGATTTTTATCCATTGGTGCAATATTGATATGTAATGTTCCTTCATCGCCGGGTAATGGTATTCCCCAGAAGATGCCAGTCTTTTTGTTGAATGACAGCCAATAGGGTAGACTCATCTTGTGTTGTTGTTTTGCCTGAAAATTAAAAGGAAATTCTTTGTAGCGATCCATCATAATAATTAACAGGCTGATAGGCATCAGCAGCAAGATTTTTAACGTTATCGAGATTAAAATTTGCATACTTAAATTGCATGCATACAGCCAGTATTTTACAAGTGTTTGATCGATATTAGAAGTTATTCTTAAACTTGTACTTACAACAAATCCCCGATGATCCCTAGGTAAACTTAAGGCTAAATGGAAGATTTTTCCAACCACGGCTTCATGATAATTTTTCCCAAACTCCTTAAATTGATTGGTTCTTGGAGGCTGCACCAGATCTTCACTGAGATCTTCGGGTGTGTCAAACGTGAATCCATCTTCTTGTGAGTGAATATTGGCACGCGTTGATACGATAATTGTAATTAGAATAACAAGTGATCGGAGATGAGGATTATTCATTTTAGGAGGGGGGTTTTTGTAGTCACGCTTTCATAATTTCTGAAAAAAAAAGAAAAGTATATAATACCTATATAACCAGATCTAAACATAGAATGTTCTCCAAGCAAAAGAATAACCTATCAAGATTACTTAAATTTTTAATAATTTTATCCAAATCTTGAGTGTTTATATGGTTATGATGAAGTATCACTTCACTTTTGGATGCTTAATAATTATTTCACACTGCCAACTAAAATTCAATCCTAAAGAGAGTGCTTATAGGCATTCAACCAGACTTAAATTTGATTGACCTATTATTGAGATTTTGTTAAGGTCTTTTGGATTTTACGTCTTCCAATTACAGAATCAAAAATCATCTCTGTCAATTCAGTCATCCTCCTCCAAGACTCTGTCTCTCTTAAATTTACTAAATTAGAATTGCTCAACACATTGATGAGAATAAATACAACGTATTCTTTTCAAAACTTCTCATTTCCATTGACTATCGTTAAATTAAAGTGGAAACTCCTAAAATTTCTGGTTTAACCACGAGAGGTTCGTCCTGACAGGGTGATGGCATTGTTGACCCAGTTCTAAAGCGATTTTCGCATCCTATTCCGCTTCGAAACCACAGATGATTCATTAATGCATTGGATCGATTTTTGAGGTCTCAGATGGATGACATTAAATAACAGGAAATGGAATTCCAAAGGTAAGGTATAACAAACTATCCAGTTTTTATGAGCATTTTAGCATAAGTTAATAAATTCAATATCAAATTTAACTCAAAAAAATGCCAAAAATTTGAATTAATTTTCATCGAAATTCGATTTTTTTGTCAGAAAATTAGAATAGGTACCATTTCCAATAACATGAAAAATTCAAATACAGGTACCAATATGTAAGTACCTACGTGATGGAACATCAACAAAAAAGAAACAGAAGCAATAAAGAAATGAAAATTTTGGCCAGAAAATGCTTGGGTTGGAAGGAATAATTTGAGAGAAAAACACCAACAAACAAGAACTCAACTTACAGTGTAATTGAAGCATTTAGTAGCAAAATACATAATATGTATAAATTTAAAATTTTTACAAGAGGAAATATTAATGGAAGAGGATGATGTAATGAAAAAAGCAGAAGAATATTTCAAGCAACTTTATGGAGCAAAAAAAAAAAGATACAATGGAACAAGTACCTATCTATAGTGAGGAAAACCACCTATTTAAAATATTATTTCTTTGAATCTTAACTTTTTAAAAAAACGTCTACTATAGGAAAAAAAGGTAAATGTTGCAACCCTGTATGCGCTGTAGATTTGTTGAGAACGAGAGCGCGCCGCAACAAAAAGGTACCACACCACCAGGCAGAGAGAATAAGCGACTAGAGAAGAAGCTGGGCTCTGGGCTAGTCCCTTAAAACGCTTGTCTGCCATTGTTCATTATTCAATTTTTATTTTTATTTTGTATTAAACTGTTTGTTCGATCCAATTTGTGATTAGTTGGTGTGTCATAAAGGATCATTCACAGGTCAGTTGATTAATTGTTATTTTGTTTTTGAGAGTTCAATTTATACAAGTAATATTTTTTTATTTTTATGTTCTTTTTTGTTTGTTTATAACATTTTTTATAATATGTGCATTGTTCATGTATTTAACAAAAATCGTTTCATGCTGTAAAACAACCCAGATAAAGATTAAATTAAAACCTAGAAAAATTATGTGCTGTTTTTTTGTGATAGGATTTTAATTTTTGGATTCAGAGCGTGCATTAGGGCCTTGTTGAATTTATTAACATTTTCCTACCCTGACGAGCGAATATCCTAGCAAACAAATTGAAATAATCAATGTAGAGATATTGGCTCAAAAACAATTATAGCTGAGTAGCTTCCCGTATGGGACCTCAGTACCCACTGGGAAACTGGCTCACTAATCAAAAAACTCTTCAGTTATGAATATAGGTAGTGTTGATTAAATGTGGTGTGTGGAATTAAAATTTTAGCACAAGGACAAAGACAGTACCTAATTTAAACTATCATTGACTTAAATTATCGAATTAATGACTTAAAATCATAGTAATATAACGAGTACAATGGAAATTATCGATAATTTTTGGGAAATTTGCCCGAATGCATTTTTAATTGAAATAGAGCACGAGTGCACGTAGTGCAGGAGTGCCTTTTTCAGTTAAAAACGCATAAGTGCAAATTTATCGAAAATTATAGATATATTTCCATTGCACGAGTTGTATTTTATGCATAGACATGTAATAAAAGAGGAGACAGAACATCTCATTCAAAAATCATTATTTGTTTACAATCATACATACCTCCAGAATTATGCATAAGTTAGAAAAAGATGGGCTTAAAAAATGGCATCGCTGTAACCTGGCCCTCCATTTCCCCGGCTGCCTTCATCAGAGGCGTGCGTTTTTTCTAGACCATGAAAAATTAAGACCTCTATATATACATTTAACCACACCACTGCTTGGGCTGAAAAAAACATAACCTCACGTACCGCCGAAATACCAATCCAGGGTTAGAATAGGCAATTTTTTTACAGATCACGCACTGGCGAACTATTGTACTTGCTAATAAAATATAAAAGACGGAAAAAACACTGAAAATTGATTGAAAATCGCAAATATTCCCAAACACAGCACAGCAACACTGGATAGGCAATTTTTGACATAAAATGAAAGAATGTGCCAAATTGACCTTTTGTTTGGACGCCATATTGCGGTGCGCGAACATAGTTGCCAAAAGTGGAAAAAAAAAATTACTAGGGTACTGTCAACATTAAAAACAAAAGTTACTGAATAAATTACCTTTAAAATTTAAATTTGCCGCCTATTAAGAATGTTTTTGAAAAGAAAAGCCATCAATTTTAGCTTGTATTGGGCAGAATAGAAATAATAAAATATCTACCTTTTTACTTTCATCAATCAGAGAGAGAAAGTAAACAAACAAAAAGGATAGCAAGGATCAATCATTTAGTTACTTTTGTTTTTAATGTTGACAGCCCGCTAGTAATTTTTGTTTTCTTCTTTTGGCAACTATGTTCGCGCACCGCAATATGGCGTCCAAACAAAAGGTCAATTAGGCAATTGACCTTTTGTTTGGACGCCATATTGCGGTGCGCGAACATAGTTGCCAAAAGTAGAAAAAAAAAAAATTACTAGCGTACTGTCAACATTAAAAACAAAAGTTACTGAATAAATTAGATTTCAAATTTGAATTTGCCGCCTATTACGAATGTTTTTGAGAAGAAAAGCCATCAATTTTAGCTTGTATTGGGCAGAATAGAAATAATAGAATATCTACCTAAGTATTTACTTTCATCAATCAGAGAGAGAAAGTAAACAAACAAAAAGGATAGCGAGGATCAATTATTTAGGGCGGGTATTATAAAACTACTTTGAGAGTTAACTTAAAGTTAACTTCTGGAATTACATGTAATTCAAAAAGTTAACTTCAAGTTAACTGTCAAAGCAGTTTTATAATACCCGCCCTTAGTTACTTTTGTTTTCAATGTTGACAGTCGCTAGTAATTTTTGCTTTCTTCTTTTGGTAACTATGTTCGCGCACCGCAATATGGCGTCCAAACAAAAGGTCAATTCCGTGTCACTGGAGTAAACAGCGTTGCCACAGCTATTTCCCTAATACATTATACATTTACGTTATACAGATTTTATTTGGAAAAAGGCACATTCATAGGTGTAGTAAAATTTTCAATTAAGATGATACAAATAAAGTATTCAATATAATCAACATTCCCTACGTTTTCAAACACAGGCGGTAGATCTAGGGCAATCCGCAGAAATTCGCCAACATTGATTTCTGGCAAAAACAATGTTTGATCAGGATAAAATGTAAACAATTTAGTCTCTTTTTTATTATATGTCTATGAATTATGAGAGAATTTCATGAATCAAAAATTTAATTTTTTTGTCAAAAAATGTCAAAACATCAGTTCTCGCACCAGTTACTATGCAATTATCTGATAATTTGCACTAGTGCAAATTATCACGTAATTCCAATCTGATTGGTTCAAAATCAACAATCAAAACATGTCAGTTTATTGTTGGAATGTCAGTTTTGACAGATGTATGAAATTCTCATTAAAATGACATAGTATGTTTTGATTTTTGAGGAATGTTAGATCGAGGGCTTCTCTGCCGTGTTCTTTCCCCACAATAGTTCCAGGTCGAGAACGGTAAGATTTACTTTGATAATAAAGTAGACGTTTCACAAATTTCTCGTTTCCTTTACATATCACAACCTCCCTTAAACTTAAATTTCCCTAATATTTGCCATGTCGGGCGCATTTCCAGTAAGTAAAATGGAGTAAGTTTGCACAACGTAGGTCCTATTTGTTTTTCATTTCGTTTTTCAGAAGATTTGTTGTTTAAACGGTGATAAAAATTCACACTGTTCAATGTTGCTGAACGAAACCGGGTATGTTATACTACAATAACGAAGATGTAACAAAAAAGGTGAGTCATAGCCTCATCCATTGAAGAAAAATATTAGAAATAAAACGAAATACGAAATCCAACTTTTAAGTCTACTTATCTTCATTAATCTGATTAATCAACACGAAACTGTCAAAATCAAAGTTGTTAGGCTCTCCAAACCACGTGATTTTTCAATATAGCAGTTGTGGGAAAATTGACCTTTTTTTGTTTATCTTGAGTTTATTCGGAATAAGTTCGAGCTAATTACAGTTTATTTTGTTATAATATAATGCAAATTGCAAAGTGAATATTTGAAGAATTTAATGCAGGAGAATCGGGATATGGGCGAATGGTTAGTTTGAAAAAATATCTAGTTGACATTTGTTTACATTTTGACCTACAGTTTTCACAGCAATGAGCAAATGAAAGCCTACAAAAGCTTAGTGTATGGGTCACGTGGGGAGAAGTGGACTGTATAATTAAAAATCACTACTTTGGGTTTTGCGCGTGTATTTACAAAGCACTATTTACAAAATTTACATGAAAGGGTGAAGATACCATAAGGTAGAGCTTCGGCAAAGATCGGTACTACTTTTATTTTTAATA